TGATGTGTGTGTTTATACAGTCCCTAGATGCTTGTGTTTATACAGTCCCTTGATGTTTGTGTTGCCAGGCCTTGATGTGTGTAACATACAGTCCTTGATGTTTGTGTTTATACAGTCCTTGATGTGTAATGTTTTACAGTCCCTTGTTGTATTGTGTTTTTGCACAGTCCTTGATGTTTTGTGTTTGCACGGTCCCACTTGATGCTGTGTGTTTATACACAGTCCCTGGATGCTTGTGTTTATACATTCATGATGTTTGTGTTATACAGGTCGCCAGTGTGTGTTTATACAGTCCCTTGATGTTTGTGTTTATACCCAGTCCTTGATGTGTGTTTTACAGGTCCTTGACTGCCTGTTTTTACAGTCCCAGTGTTTGTGTTTATACAGTTACAGTGCTGTTTGGGTCCTTGATGTTTGTGTTGCCTGATCCTTGATGTGTGTTTATACGGTCCTTGACTGTGTTTATAAAGGTCCCACATACAGTGTGTGTGTGTTTTACAGTCCTTGTGTATTGTGTTTTTGCAGTCCATGATCATTTGTGTTTATACGGTCCATGATGTTTGTGTTTATACAGTCCCTAGATGCTTGTTTATACAGTCCCTTGATGTGTGTTTATACAGTCCCTAGATGCTTGTGTTTATACCAGTCCTTGATGTTTGTGTTTTTCTGGCCTTGATGTGTGTTTATACAGTCCCTTGATGTTTGTGTTGCTTGGTCCTAGATGCTTGTGTTTATGATCCCTTAATGCTGTGTGCTGGCCCCTTGTTGTGTGTGTTTTATACGGTCCCTTGATGTTTGTGTTTATAGTCCCTAGATGCTTGTGTTTATACAGTCCCTTGATGTTTGTGTTGCCAGCGCAGTGCATGTGTTTTATACGATCCCTTGATGTTTGTATTTATACCAGGTCATGATGTCTGTGCACGGTGTCCCTTGATGTGTGTGTTGCCAGTCCCCTTGATGTGTATGTTTTAGTGCCTGATACATGTTTATACAGTCCCTTGATGTTTGTGTTTATACAGTCCCTAGATGCTTGTGTTTATAGTCCTTGAGGATGCTACACAACACATTACAAGGTTTTCACCACGTCCGGTATGCCTCTACATCTTATTAAACCAATTGTACAGATGACATCACCGTCCGTCAGCTGTTTCGCAAAATGCTTTCTGTTAAGTGTTGTAAGTCACAGCTTATTTAGTTACGACAGTTATGTATAGAACGTATGTAGTGGTGTATGTGTGAGAGAAGAGAAGAGCTGTGTAGGTACAACATCGACATAGCAGTTAGTGAGTCCCGGCTCCCAGACGAGGGTCGACTCACAGAACGGGGGTCTGGCTATACCATCTTCTGGAAGGGTAAGCCTACTGCGGAAAAAATACGTATTCGGAACTGGCTTTGCCATTTAATCCATTCTACATAGGATAAATGAAATGCCTGTCGGGATCAACGAGCACCTCATAACGCCATGCCTTCTTCATGGGTGCATACGCCCCAACACTGGCTGCAGAGGATGACATCAAGGAGGCCTTTTACGCCAACCTCGACAGGGTGCTAACCTATATCCCTAGAGAACATAAGGATGTGCTCTTTGGTGACTTCAATGCTAGAGTTGGCAGAGATGCTGACATTGGCAGGAAATCATAGGGAGAAATGGACTAGGCAAGTGTAATCCCAACGGCCAACTCCTCCTCAGCTGGTGTGCTGCTCACAACCTCACTATCACCAACACCGTGTTTAGGCAGGCGGACAAGTTCAAGGGTTCGTGACAACACCCACGATCCAAACACTTGCATCTGATTTTATGTCACCCGGTAAGGAGATTAACCTACCACGTCAACTCGACACAGTTTATTTCGGTCAAACCTGTCAAATACAAATAATTATTTATAATCAATTTACAAGATGGAAACTGAAGGTTCAGTGACATCATATATGATTACATTTATCTAATATTAGCACACAAGTGAGTACATTATCTTAATAGTAAACACAACATGAGCTGCATATCATCAGAAGTTACTCAATTAATATTCTTAACGTCCACAGTGAACCACAATATTTTCACACTTACGTGTTGCAGGTCTGGCTTGGACAGAAAGCCTGGGTGAACGTCAAGCCAATTCAGCATATACTGTACACCCCTTGTTCCTCATTATGACACGAGCTGCCTCACCATCGTCTCCTCGTATGTACACAACAACACTTTTCTCATTACTCTTATCACTCCTATGATTACAGCTGTCCAGAAGTAAAACATTGATTACATCATTGTCAGAGAAAGAGATCGCTGAGATGTCCTCATCACTCGAGCCATACGTGGCTCGGACCACTGTGACACTGATCATCGTCTCATCAGAGCCAAACTCTCACTTCACGTCGCCCCAAAACGGCGAAGGCAACAAGCCTCCAGAAGAGGTTTTAACACAAAGCGTCTGGAGGATCCAGCGGTAGCACATGCTTTCAGAGAGCAGCTCGAACATGGGCTGATAAACAACCTGACAACAAACAACCCAAATCCCAGTGCCGAATGAGATATTCTCGACACTGTCATGACAAAAACCTGCAGAGACTCTCGGCCAGATCGAAAGAATACGCCAGGACTGGTTTGATGAAAATGACCCAGCAATCAATGTACTCGTCGATGGTAAATGTACTGCTTTAACTGATTGGCAGAACAACCCTCAGTCTCGGACCTAAGATGATACCTTCCGCAAGAAGAAAGCAGATGCTCAGTGGGACATTCGCAATCTAAAGAACGACTGGTTTAAAAAAAAAACATTTGAAACACAAAAAAATGCAGATTAAGGGCAGCATACTCAAAACCATTTATTGGACTGTATCTGTTTGTTTACCCAGTAACTGGAGTTACAGTCCCCGATCCGTGTACTCAAAACAAATATTTGTCAGTGGATTCCACAAGTGAGTCTGTATTTGAGGTCGTAACTTGCAGAACCTCCTTAGCTGCTGTAACATGCTCAACCCGGGTATAGTAAGTACGCTATTTCCTGATTGCATAACAAAAAGTAATAATATATGTTATAATAAAGCTTGTTAGACTTATTTTATCAGAGAATAATGAAGAAAATGTTTTGTACATCAACAAACTAAAATACGATATTACAGTTTGGCTATTTTTTTTTTTACGAGAAGAAGAGGCTTCAGTGTGTTTATATTTACCGTGGAATGGAAGAGACGCATTTTTTGGCTATTACAACTTTTCAAGTGATTTTTAACAAAATAGAAGGCTTGTATTGTCCACTGTTATCGCCACTGGCTTCAAGTACAGTGCTGGCGTTGCCTTACCCGAACAAACATTAAATCTATCAGCCTGCGACCACGTGCGCCCCCCCCCCCCCTGTGACCTGCACAAACAAGATGCCCTGATTCTGCTGAGTGTATGGTTTAGACTCTAGAGGGTGGCGTGGCCGCCTGGCCTCCATGATGCAGATCGCCCTCTCGAGTGATGCTGTGAGGACCAGCCCTCTGTGGTGAACACCGACTCCCAATCCTGGCCGAGTTTTGTGCTGGAACAATTTACACAGTACTATTGTCCCTTGGAACACCATACTGGTTCGCATTGACCCGCACTTGTAAGTACAGCCAAAGTGATGACATACCCCTCAGTACTGA